GATGAATAATTTAATTACAATAAACAGCTTCTCCAGAAAAATGAAGGTATGTTCAAAATATTACAAAAAAATAACAATCTTACAAAATCAATTCTAATTTAATTTTTTCTTTATCAACCATCAGCAGCACATAATTTAAAATTGCATGAGAAAAAAAATCAAAAACTGTAAACAAAAGAATTGCTAGACAATCACAACATTTCCACCAAGCTTTTGTTGTTGTTGAGCCAGGTGAGTGACAAGTTATTCAATCTGCTAACTTTAATTTCTCTAGCAGTTAATTCCACACAGCTCAACATCAGGACCAGTGACTGTTGTTGTAAAAAGGTCAATTCGGACCCATAACAAATTAGGAAAGTTATGATTTTTATTTATAATGTAAAATAAGATTAAGATGCAAAAGCTAGAACTGGATGTTAATTCTAATGGGTGGTTCGTGAATCAAAATGTTTGGGAAGGAAGATTCAGCCTTTTAATAACATGATGCAAAAATGCAGTGAAGCGGTAGAACTTCGATTTCAGCGAGAAAAATTAACAGAGAAGCGAATGAAAAAAGGGGATAAAAAGTGCAATGTTGTCATTTACCTATTTTTGGAGAACGAAGAAGAGGCACTGCCAAGAAGTCAAGAAAAGGTTCAAATTGAAAAAAAAAAAAACTTATGAAGAGCAATGCCAATCTCAGCCCAGAGAAGAACGATTTGAACGGCGAAGGAAATCAGACAACATATGATACAGGTCTCCTTTAGGTTGAAACACAAAATGACCTCTTTTCTTTAATAACACTTATTATTATTATTTTTTAAACATGTAACCGTTCCAAATCGGGTCTCCTTTAACTCGTCGGGTCACCGAGACCCGGCCGAGTCGACCGGTCCAAACCGGGTTGACTGCACGACTGGTTCAAAGGGAAGCTCGAATCGGGGAACCTACCGGGTCACCGAGACTCAGGTCGACCCGGCCGGTCCGATGCAATTTTTAAAACACTACCTAAAAGGACCAATTGCCTCTGCCTGTGCGCCCTTAAGCACGTTGGAGCGCAATTAAGTGCTCTTCCAGGCTGGAAAAAAAATGTTCGAAGAGCGCGCTTAAGCGCGCAGCCCGTTTTCAGCACGAACATAGGTTAGTAAAATTGTCATAACTCGAGCTACAGAGCTTCAGATTGAGTGAGGTTTGAATCTATGTGAAGCTAACACATAGATCTATAACCTTGTAAAAATATTAGAGCCATTGAATGAGTATATCAAAGTCAATGTAGGATTGAAGTTGATACTCCAATTCCGAAGGTTCAGTTATGTCTGCTACGTTGCGAGTTTAATAACTCCGGTTATACGTAACCAAATGGTTACTGTAATATCTTTTTGGAAAGCCTTAGATGTCTAGTTTATAACAGTGAAAAGGTGAAAGTTAATGGTTAAGTGTAGTGGTCTCAGTTTAGAGAATGTTACATGGTTACAATTACGATTTTGATTATATTAAATACGATTTTGTTTTAAAAAGTAAATGAACAATGTTTTTATGAAAAAATTTATTTGTGGTCTTAATTAATCAATGTGATTGAAACTGCGCTTAATATTATAAGTAATGTTAACGTTTCTGAGTGTACAACGGGGCATTACATTCGCGGTCTTCTCAGAAGTTACGTTCACCAGAACGTTATCTGCAAGGCATAACTAGATCCAGATCAGGCTTCGTGTCTTTCGATCGTCTCTGGTCCACGCCTTCAATTCCTTTGACTCTTTCGACTTGCCTTCCTCTGACGTTCCATCGCCGACAGTTTTCGTTGGTACCGATGGCTTCTCATCTTTGGCAAAGCCTCCATCTTTAGCTTCCATAACTCAAACCATTTTCCTCTGAACTTTTCAACCTCGATTCGTGATTGGCCAGTCAACATCCTCTCCAAATCAATTTCGCAGTTGTCTCTATGCAAAGAAAAAATCCCAAATCGTGAAACCCTAATCTGTCACAGGAACCCCGGTCGCAGAACCAAAGCTCTGATAGGGCTAAGCTACACCAACCGTAGCAAGTGAGTCTGATACCACTTCTCAACCCAAAACCTTAAGGCATTGGGTTTATGGGTCAATTCACTTATATACTTTTCACTTAGCCCATTACCAACCAATGTGGAACTCATCACACTTGAATATCTCAACAATATTATATCCATATGAAATTTATTTCATGTCATATCATATTAATCGGAATTATTGCCCCTACTTCTAGTAGGTATGAAAATGAAATAAGTTCTAATTATATTTTACTTGTTAGACACTATTGTTATCACTTGTGAATAAGAAAAAAGTGATTTTTCATGTTCAAGATGTGCCTCTGATGTTATGTTATATGTTGGTCTTTTTTTATAATGAGACCAACATTTAAAATTCATTAGAAGCACATTGTGGCAAATTAAAACAACTTGTAATAATGATTAAACTAACACTCAAAAGAGGATCCATCCTACACTTCAGAATTTAATGGATTTTAAAAAACAAAAGGACATAATTTTTTTTTTTTTTCTATATGTGTAGCTTATTAGTTAGAAATGAAGACTCTTTTAAAGAGGTTTGGCGCAATTGGTTACGGGTTCGCTGCTATCTCCAAAAGGATGGCAGTTCGAACCACACTGGCCGATGTGAGGGCTTCTTTGGTGGATGATATGTAATTCTTCTCAGAAATCCTCAAAGAGGTTGGGAGGTCTTCCCAGACCCTGGTGGGATATCGGCGTCTACCCCCATCTAAACTTGTTTGAATTAAAAAAAAAATGAAGACTCTTTCTAGCCATATCAGGATTTGCAACATGCTAATTGTCAGTGGGCACATTTGGTTTAATGAAATGTTTTTTTTTCCCGTTAAAATTACAATTATATCACCTTATTTTTAATTTGTCTTCTTAAACGAAAGAAAATCAGAAGTGTGTCTGATTAATTTTCTGTTAAGAGATTATGAAGATCGACTTCCGCGGTATCTCATTTGTCTTTTTTTAGATGATGGCATTTTTTCACAAAAGCATCTCTGGACTGTTCTGCCATTTTGGATATTCTTGATTTGTTTGGTATAGCATCAGGATTCAGGACAACCAATTAATTTCAATAAATCAACTAGTATTTGGGCTTTCGAACCAATCACTTGAATCCATTATGCATATGGTTTGGAAGAGTATACAAGGCAGGTCTTAAGTTTGAGTCTTACGTAGTCATTGACCTGTTATGCATATGGTTTTTTTGTTTATAAATATTTATAGGAGGCTGTTGCAATACTCAACCCAAAATCTTTAGGGAGGCATTCTTAAAATAGATTCTAGAAGCCTTTTTAAGGTTAATTTTCAGATTTTAGAAATCAAATTCTATTCAAATGATCGAGTAAAGTACTAAATAAATTAAATTGTGTTTATCAACAGCTTGGAGTTATCATACAAAAAAATGAGAAGGGTTTTGATAGAGTAGAATTGTTTTTGTTTTGCAGCCTCCTTGTTAATGAACACTTCAAAATTTATTGTAAACAACAAATAAAATATGGGTTTTATAATTTTCATTCAATATGAGAATTCAAATCTTCTTACACACCCTTCAATTTTCGTGTTGATATGGGCCCTACACAATATTTTTTTTAACATATGGGTTTCACATATTTTTTGTCTCTACAACATAAGATTTCAATTCTTATACTCCAAACCAAAAAAAAATAAAAAAAATCCGGGGCACATGCCCCCGTAAGTCCATAATTATTAGGTAGATACCTCCCTAGTACGTATTCAACACCCCAAACCACCACTCCCAAAAAAAAGTCCATAATTATTAGGTAGATACCTCCCTCGTACGTATTCAACACCACTACGTAACGTAGCTCTTCTAGATGAACTATATTGTCTAGGATTAACAAGCAAGATGTGAGTGTATATATGTCATTAGATTGTGATGTTTAAGTTGCTCCTTTTATTTTATTTTATTTTCCTAAAATCGTAGTAGAAACACACGTTTGATTTTGATTAGAAACACCGAGCTAGTAGACAATTCTCAGAAATATTATAGAAATATAGGAATCATATAGATATTTCATCCTTACGTTTCTTGGTATAACCATTACATATTTTAGAGACCTATTATTGTGTTATGGTTCTATATAATAATGTCTTTTATATTTGTACGTGATATTAAACTAACCTTGTGATAGAAAGGATAAGGATAGACTTTTGGGGTATAGCAAAGTATGATGCAGATGCAGCCAAAACGAGCCCACCGTTTTCTCAAGAAATCCACCCTCTATTCCCACTCAAGTTGGTCCCGGTGACCAAGACTCCATCACTTCTTTGAACCATTATATTCAACATGAATAATTGAAACCTGCTGCTAGACTATAGTGTGAAGCATACTTAGTATACTTCTCTGACCAGTTTTCTCAGTATGATGCATATTCGGAACCTCTTCTATATATGCTCCTTCACAACCGCGGAGCCAGAAAATTAAAAATCTTTCAGAGGAAGTTACAAGTGTCATATTTTTTTTAGGTTATAATTATCTATATGACAAAAAAATGATACTCTTAAATACTTGTATGAACTTGAAGGGAGGCGATCACTGTTTATATGAACAAAAATAACAATACTTATAGGGAAAAATTATTCTCACGCTACATGAGATAAGTTTTCCCTCCTACACATTATTCATAAATGTGTCATATTTTCTTTTTCTTTTCTTTTTATTTTTTCTGGTGCTAAAACCTACAAATTTGTTTCTATGACATGAGATAACTTATCTTCTTTAACATGACATGTATAAATTTAAAGAAGGGCAATGGCCCTACCTCTCGCTCCACAAGTGCTCCTTCACTTACCGGTGACTCAGTTAGGATTTCGTGGAAATTAAGAATTGGAAAGAAAGCTAACATTGCACAACAATTATAACAAATTGTTCTACAAGGACAACAATTTAATCAAGAGAACTCATAAAGAAAAGAGAGAGAGAAACTAAATTGAATAATAAAGAAATTGAAGCATATAGGCCTCATGAATTATTGTGTTGATGATACATGCATACAACTATATGAACTAAATATAAGTATAAGTCCACTTCTTTTTCTAATATAATTAAACATTTTCATGACATAAAATACAACTATACTTCGTTCTTAGAAATTATCATTGGAAAAGGCATTACCAGTTAGATCATGCAAACCAAAATCATTATCCACGAGCAAGCTGCCATCAGAGAGTTCCATGCTAGTGCTAGACCTTGAGTTACCCGAAGTTGGAACAAAATCACTGCTCTTCACATAGTCAAACGAGTAACTATTCTGTTGCTGAGGCACTTGATCCTGTTGCTTCTGCCATGGAAGAGGCATAGCTACTTGATGAACTTGATTGTAACTTCTGCTACTAAATGGTGGAACTATTCTACTTGTGTTATGATGAATCTGCTGTCTGCTTCCTTGTTTGAAATTTAAGGTAATAGGTCCCTTATGAACCCCTAGTGATGACCCAGTTGTGCTAGGACACCCAGTGAATTGTTGCACTAATGCCCTGAAATTTGTGGTGTTGGCATTGAGGAGTGTGGTTGGGGTTCTCTTAGAAGCTCTAGACCTTTTTCTTATAGGTTTTGATGCATTACCTTTTGGAGTTGTCATGTATGAACTGGTTGGGCTTAACATGCTCTCAGATGGCATGGTGGGAGTGGAACTTGTTGTCATCAAAGTTGCATCAGAGAATCCTTCTGTGGTTGGCACCAAAACTCGGCCAGTTTCATCCATGAGAGGTTGCTGGTAGAATTGCATCCACTGGTCAGTAGTAGCAGTCATGGTTATCTTTCATATGTGTTTTGACATAGTCCTTCATATTTGGTTCTATTATTGTGTATATAGTGCCTTGTCATGGTCAAAGTAAAAGTCCAATTTTTGACTATTCTTTGATTGAGACAGGGGAGAAACTTGATGCCAAAGAATAAGGTTGGTTCAAGGAAATAACGGGTTAATTAACTTCAGTGACGAAATGAAAATCAGGAACAGCATCACTTTTGGACTCCCTTGATTAATGTTATGTTGGAGCTTTTATGGTGGTCTTTGTGTTCTTGGTCAAAAAAACATGTGTACTATATAGTTGAAAAATGGTAAGTCGCTATGTGCTCTTAGCTACCCACCCACCCAATTTTACATAGTTTATTTAAGTTCCGTGTTTTATTACAAGGCATGACCGTATAAGATACTTCTTGATGTAGCAGAAACTCTAATTAAGAGCCCACGTGCTTTTACTAAAAGCAAAGTCTGTGTCAAACAGATCTAGATAGAGAAAGAGAAATAGAGTACAAACAATTGCAACCGAAGTCTTTGTTGACCATAGTTAAGTGAATTACTCCCTTCGATATAGACAGGAGACATCCATATACATCTCCTACGGGAAAAAAGATGCATGCCCGAAGTATATAATTATAATAAATATTATAATTATGTATTTTTGAAAATATATCAGATTATGTCATTTTTCTTTGATGTACTTCCGGAAGTAAGTACATAGTTGATCGCATCAATCCTTAAGTGTAGTTACTATACATTCACTAAACTCAATATATATTTATATTTAGAATCTGTTCACATTTATAACTCTTCACATATCATGTAGAAAAGGGTTCACTTTGCTAATCTTTCACCAAAAAATAGAGTATTATTATTGGGGATATAATTTCTCATATTATATGAAATAATTTGTTTCATACAATACACAAAAAGATAGGTGGGACTCACCAAAAAAAAAAAGAGAGAAAGAAAACAAGTCGGCCTCATTCACTTTTTTGTATGTTGGAATAGACAATTTGTGTCATGCAACATAAGAAACGTGTTTTTCATTTATTTATTTATTTTAAACTTTTGCTAGGAAATTTGTAATTATTTTTGTGAATATATAATTTTTTAATTAACTTTTACGTTATTTAAAGTTACATATTTATAGTTCTTTTTTTATACCAACCGATTTTTCAAGTTTTAATTGACCTGACTAATCCAATTTTGAAGTTCTAATACTGATAATTTATTACTCTTTGGACAGACCAAATCTTAAAGTTTAATTTGATCGGCCATTGGATCAACCACTCTTGGGTGATATTTATAGTCCTTTAATTGTTATCTAAAGTTATAAACTCAACAATAAAAATTACAAGATTTCTATTAAAAATTATCATAAATAAATAAATACTACCTAAAAATACCAGCGCTTTTAAGTAAACATATACAGTGCCCTTTAAACATGTTTAAACTGCAGCTAATTTCGATTAAAAATCCAATAAAAGGCGTTTGGCTGCAGTGTGGCTAAACACCTTTTTTTTTTTAAGAAAAAAAAAATCATTTTTATAAATTTTCCTAAGTGGAATCAACCACAGTAACAAATTTAGCATCAGCATAAACAATCTGAAATAGTAAGAATAATTATATATAGCAGATTAACAATACAATTCAAATTACAAGCCCAGAACAAGTTGGTGAGGTGAAGTATACTTCAGTTTTCATTTCTATGAAGATGCCTTAAGATTCTGACTCGTTTTCCATTCCATAGAGGACACACTAAAATCACAAAAGCGTACAATTATAAATACACAAAAATTTCTCCCACTCCCATACTATAAAATATTTATAGTTACAATTATAAATTCTGATTCAGATAATGTCAACACTCAACAATATATTTAATCATATCGTTAAAAATCCTATAATGTTTATAAGGGACAATAAAATGAATAATAAATTAGATAGTCCTTGATATAGCTTTTTCAAATAGTTAGAAGAATTCGATCCTTCCAATCACAGTGGATCGGAATAAGCTAAGGATAAAAAAATGGGAACAATCACAATATATAAACAAAAGAGCAGGTACAGTTGAAAGGTGACCTCTACTAGGAAAGAGTGGCCCAGAAGAAACCGCATGTGAGGTTTCTTCTTCAGGTGTCACTAATTGATCTCCAAAGCTAAGGCTGGACTAAAATTGGTAGTAAATTGTAATTGAAATTTCTTATAAAGAATATAATTAACAGTATGTGTATCATGAAATAATATAGAATACTTGAAACAAATGGAATATTATATTATGAAAAGAATCATATTCCTCGTAGGTCATCATATCCAAATAATTGGAGATACAATTCTCCAAAAAAAAAATTAATTGAAGATACTTAATTTGTTTCCACAGTTATTTATGACCGGTGTACAAGGCATCCATAATCAACAGAGAAGCCACTAATATCGATCTAGTAGTGAGGAGTTTAGATAAGTTGTATTAAGTTATGTGTTTAATTTTTACTTGTATAAAAAAAATCAAGAGAGGTGCCCATCTTCAAAAATTGACTAGTGGAATATAATCTCAAAGAAAAACTATTACCTTGCAAAAACAAGGGGAAAAAGAAAAACTCTCGGGTGGGGAACGTTTAGAGAGGGTTAATGTGGGAATGGGAAAGCCAATGCATAACGGATGGATCCGTAGTGTGAGTGTGAAGGTGCTGATGGTTGTCCCCACACATGGGTTGTTGACAATTACGAGCTTTTGGTGAGACTGGGTCACATATGTGACTTGTGAGGGTGATAGAATTTTATTGTGCCGATAGCAATCGGTCGCCAATGCCGCAATGAGTGCAGAGAATTGAAGGAGCCAAGCAAAGGTATTTTAGACAAACACGCTAAATGGACTGGCTGAGCGGATGAACAGAACTATTGAAGAGAAGGTCTGAAGCATGATATCCAATGTCGGATTGCCGAAATCATTCTGGGGAGAAGCCATCAAAACAGTTGTTGACTTGATCAACCTCTCACCATCACGGCCACTTGAAGGTGAAATTCCATAAGAAGTCTGGACAGGTCGGAAAGCGGTCTATAATCAATTGAAGGTGTTTGGATGCCGAGCTTTCGTGCATATCCCTAAAGATGAAAGGGCTAAACTTGATGCAAAGACCAAAGAATGCATTTATCTTGGTTCGCCGAAATGTGAGTTCGGGTTCCGACTTTGGGATCCAATAAATAAGAAGATCCAGAGAAGCCGAGATGTGATCTTTCATGAAGATGAGAACATTCATGACATCTCGAAGCCCAAAGTCTGAGTTACTGTCAGACGCGAAGAACCCAATCCTCCTGTCCGAGCTGAAGCAGGGGGAGAAAATCATGAAAATGAAGAGATTGATGACCAGCAACCAGCTGAGGATGACCAAGACACTGATGTCCGAGTTGATGATGAGATCCGGGATGAGAATGATGAACCGGGTCCTCAAGCTGAAGAACAGCCGAGATATCCAACTCGAGAAAAAAGACCATATAGGAGATACCCATCTGATGAATACACTGTTGTTGCTGAAGACGGTGAGCCTCAGAGTTATGATGAGGTTGTGACGAGCTCAGAGAAAGAAGAATGGAAAAAGGCAATGCAAGACGAGATGAAGTCTCTGCACGAGAATCAGAGTTATGAGCTGACTGAGTTGCCTAAAGGAAGACGAGCTCAGAAAAATAAGTGGGTCTACAAGATTAAGAATGAAGAGAACGGGCAAAAGCCGAGATACAAAGCCCGAATTGTAGTGAAAGGCTGCAATCAGAAAAAAGGATTAGATTTTGAGGAGATTTTTTCTCCTGCGGTGAAAATGACCTCGGTCCGAACCGTGTTAGCCATGGCGGCTTCGATGGACCTCGAGGTAGAACAAATGGACGTGAAGACGACATTTCTTCACGGTGATTTAGAAGAAGAAATATATATGGAGCAACCTGAAGGGTTCCGAGCTCCAGACCAAGAAGACTTGGTATGTCGGTTGAAGAAGAGCCTCTATGGCTTGAAGCAAGCACCTCGGCAATGGTACAAGAAATTTGAATCATTCATGATTAATCATAAGTTTGAGAAGACAGAAGCCGACCACTGTGTATTTGTGAAGAGGTATGAGGCCGGAGATTTTTTGATCTTGTTGTTATATGTTGACGACATGCTTATTGTAAGGAAAGATAAATCGAGGATAGCCGCCCTGAAAAAGGCGTTGAGCTCGTCCTTCGCAATGAAGGACCTCGGCCCTGCAAAGAAGATTCTCGGAATCAAGATCATCCGAGATAGACAGAAGAAGCTACTGTGGCTGAGTCAAGAGAAATATATTGAGAAGATTCTAAAGAGATTCAGCATGGACAAAGCCAAAACAGTGAGCAACCCCCTAGCCGGACACATAAAGCTGAACCAGAAGCAATGTCCGAGATCTGATAAAGACAAAGATGAGATGATGAAGGTCCCATACCAATCCGTTGTCGGAAGCTTGATGTATGCAATGGTTTGCACTAGACCCGACTTGGCGTATGCTGTTGGAATGGTAAGCCGGTATTTGTCAAACCCCGGCAAAGAGCACTAGGAAGCAGTGAAGTGGATCTTCAAGTACCTCCGAGGTACGACCGACTTATGTCTCAGATTTGGAGAAGGCAAAGCCGTGTTGCAAGGCTACTGGGATTCTGATTTAGGGGGAGACGCCGACTCGAGGAAGTCGACTACAGGATATTTGATGAGATTTGTCGGATGAGCTGTCTCTTGGCAATCAAGACTTCATAAATGTGTTGCACTATCGACAACTGAGGCTGAGTACATTGCCGCTACTGAGCCAAGCAAAGAGATGCTGTGGATGAAGAAGTTCCTCATGGAACTCGGCCATGATCAAGACAAGTACGAGCTGGGTTGTGACAATCAAAGCGCAATCCATCTTGCGAAGAATTCAACCTATCACTCCCGCACTAAGCATATTGATGTGAGGTAACACTGGATCCGGGATGTGGTGGAAGGTGGAGAGCTCGAACTCGTCAAGGTGCACACTGACC